TTTTTGTGTTGAGTTTGTTGTCCTTAGGGACCGTCCATAAATGACGTCACGCGATTTTGGACGATTTTTGACCCCCCCCCCCTCGTCACACGGCGTCACAAAAAGTCAGACCCCCCCTCAAATATGACGTCACAAAGCTCTGCCCCCCCCCAAAAATAAAAATGCTTCAAATCGCTTTAAACTATTGTCATTGTAGTGTGTTTTTAATGTGGCGCTGCACTCTGCTGTTGTAGGAGAAAACATTTATAAAAAAAAGTCTAATTAAGTAAAACGTGTTGTCTATATTTATTTAAAGTTGCGCATTTTGATGTTACGTCACATTTCTCAACCCCCCCCCCCCCTCGTCACACATCGTCACAAATGTCTGACCCCCCCCCCCAAGGTGCGTGACGTCATTTATGGACGGCCCCTTACCCCGCATCTACGATTAGCACGGTTGGCTACGTACAGTGCGAATAAAAGTTCAACATAAGTACCATCTTGGCAACAACAAAAAACACTCCGATCTTTTTGGGCTATTGCCCGAAACGTCGCCCTTTTTTTTTTCAAGCACAGAGCTGGTGATGGGGGTGAGGAGGAAGCCACGGGTGACCGAAACGGAAGGGTTAATCAATAACACAACTTAGTAACACTGCAGTCAATCATACTTATACATTGTGATGATTCACAGAATCGATTATGCTGTAATTGGTGGTGATGATGGTGGTGGTGGTAGTCGTGATGATGATAATGGTGATAATGGTGTTGATGGTGCGTTGCCGCTATGATCATAGTCATTATGACGCCTTGTTGATGATCGTGATGCTGCTGGCAACACATTCCTGCGGAAGGAGCTGGTAGGAACGTTGGGTTACTCGGTCAATGGCCAGGGTCAACGGCGGCGTGGTGTATTCCGCAAATATGCCTGACTATGAGGGCGGGCACAAGCCGGCGTGAGTAGGTTAAAAGTTGAGTTTTATAAGGGTACCACGGGGTGAGCAGCCCCTCCCCACCCAGCCCCACCCCTCCCACCCCCCACCCAGTCCCACCCCTCCAACCCAGCCCCTCCCCACCCTCCCCACCCAGCCCCTCAAGCCCCACCCTCCCCACCCAGCCCCTCCCCATCCTCCCCTCCCCACCCAGCCCCTCCCTCCCACCCAGCCCTCCCTGCACGACGGACACAATAATCCCCTGTGGGCTGGTGTAACCAGGAGGTTCCTACCAGTATATTGCAGCTATATTAGTAATTATGATTCTGCTGATATGACACTGGTGTATGTGTTGATGAGGGTAGTGATAGTGCTATGTTTGTGATTATTCCGTATTGATGACTAATGGGAGTGATGCTGCTAATACGATGATCGTGATGATGCTCTGTCGATGATGATGATGGTAGTAGCAGTGACAATGCTGTGTTGATGGTAGTGATGATGATGATAATGTTACTGTTATGATGATTGTGATGACGATACGTTTATGATGAGGATGGTACTGAAGCTGCTGATATGATGATCGTGATGATGCTCTGTCGATGATGATGGTAGTCGCAGTGCCAATGCTGCGTTGATGATGGCAGTGATGCTGCTGATATAATGATGATGATAGCGATGATGTGTTGAAGGTTGTGATGTTACTGCTATGATGATTGTGATGAAGATGCGTTGATGATGATGGTAGCAATACTGCTGATATGATGATCGTGATGATGCTCTGTTGATGATGATGGTAGTCGCAGTGCCAATGCTGCGTTGATGATCGCAGTGATGCTGCTGATATAATGATGATGATGATAGCGATGATGTGTTGAAGGTTGTGATGTTACTGCTATGATGATTGCGATAACGATGCGTTGATGATGATGGTAGCAATACTGCTGATATGATGATCGTGATGATGCTCTGTTGATGATGATGGTAGTCGCAGTGCCAATGCTGCGTTGATGATGGCAGTGATGCTGCTGATATAATGATGATGATGATAGCGATGATGTGTTGAAGGTTGTGATGTTACTGCTATGATGATTGCGATAACGATGCGTTGATGATGATGGTAGCAATACTGCTGATATGATGATCGTGATGATGCTCTGTTGATGATGATGGTAGTCGCAGTGCCAATGCTGCGTTGATGATCGCAGTGATGCTGCTGATATAATGATGATGATGATAGCGATGATGTGTTGAAGGTTGTGATGTTACTGCTATGATGATTGCGATAACGATGCGTTGATGATGATGGTAGCAATACTGCTGATATGATGATCGTGATGATGCTCTGTTGATGATGATGGTAGTCGCAGTACCAATGCTGCGTTGATGATCGCAGTGATGCTGCTGATATAATGATGATGATGATAGCGATGATGTGTTGAAGGTTGTGATGTTACTGCTATGATGATTGCGATAACGATGCGTTGATGATGATGGTAGCAATACTGCTGATATGATGATCGTGATGATGCTCTGTTGATGATGATGGTAGTCGCAGTGCCAATGCTGCGTTGATGATCGCAGTGATGCTGCTGATATAATGATGATGATGATAGCGATGATGTGTTGAAGGTTGTGATGTTACTGCTATGATGATTGTGATGAAGATGCGTTGATGATGATGGTAGCAATACTGCTGATATGATGATCGTGATGATGCTCTGTTGATGATGATGGTAGTCGCAGTGCCAATGCTGCGTTGATGATCGCAGTGATGCTGCTGATATAATGATGATGATGATGTGTTGAAGGTTGTGATGTTACTGCTATGATGATTGCGATAACGATGCGTTGATGATGATGGTAGCAATACTGCTGATATGATGACAGTGATGATGATGATGGTAAGGGTGATCGTGTTGAGGGCTGGACGCATCACCCGGCCCGGATCGCGCAGTCACTGGAGCGGAGTGCGAGTCGTGACCAGTGGCTCCACGGGGTAGGAACGGGGGAACTCGGTGTACAAAGGGGGTGGGGTGTGCACGTGTGTACACAGGTGAATACTAGATTTGAAGCTTTCGTGACTGCAAGGATTCATATTCTTAGGTTTTTTTCGGTAAAGTCACGTAGGTAAAAAAATTTAAAATGAAAATTAATAAAAGTAAAATAAAAAATAAAATTAAAAATCACGACGTTTCGGAGGCAACACAAGCTTCACCTGAAGACGGAAGCTTGTGTTGCCTCCGAAACGTCGTGATTTTCATTTTATTTTACTTTTATTAATTTAAATTTAAATATTTTACCTACGTGACTTTACCGAAAAAAACCTAAGAACACAGGTGAATGTTCACGGTGTGCATGTCATTACAGGTGTGTGTGTGTGTGTGTAGGAGTGTGTACATCACCACTGGGGAGACAAAGGCGGCCGGGCGTGTGTTGCTGGCCACCCACCCCCTCGTGTGCCGTGCCGGCCGTCATAGGTGCTGCTCGCTAACAGCACTTGCCCCGACAGTCTGTTAACGCTATAGGGGTGATCTTCACGTTTGTACGTGTGCGTATGAGATGGTACACATAGCTGGGTGTACACCAATCTGTGTGTACCCGCATGTGCACACACACACACCCGCGCGTACACACACACACACTCACGTTTACACACACACACGTGTACACAGGCTCGGATGTACACACACGTGTACACATCCCTAGGTGTATACACACACACGTGTACACACCCTCGGATGTACACACACATACATACGTGTATACATCCCCGGTCTACATATACACACACACGTGTACACACTCACGTGTACACACACACGTGTACACAGCCTCGGATGTACACACACGTGTATACATTCCTGGGTGTATATACACACACACACACACTGTGTACACACACATTCACGTGTACACACACACACGTGCACACATTCCTGGGTGTATACACACACGTGTACACACACACTCACGTGTACACACACACGTGTACACAGCCTCGGATGTACACACACGTGTACACATCCCTGGGTGTATACACACACACGTGTACACACACACACGTGTACACACACGTGTACACAGCCTCGGATGTACACACACGTGTACACATTCCTGGGTGTATACACACACACGTGTACACACACACACACACGTGTACACACACACACGTGTACACAGCCTCGGATGTACACACACGTGTACACATCCCTGGGTGTATATACACACACGTGTACACACACACACACGTGTACACACACACACGTGTACACAGCCTCGGATGTACACACACGTGTACACATCCCTGGGTGTATACACACACACGTGTACACACACACACGTGTACACACACACACGTGTACACAGCCTCGGATGTACACACACGTGTACACATTCCTGGGTGTATACACACACGTGTACACACACACGTGTACACACACACACGTGTACACAGCCTCGGATGTACACACACGTGTACACATCCCTGGGTGTATATACACACACGTGTACACACACACACGTGTACACACACACACGTGTACACACACACACGTGTACACAGCCTCGGATGTACACACACGTGTACACATCCCTGGGTGTATATACACACACGTGTACACACACACACGTGTACACACACACACACGTGTACACAGCCTCGGATGTACACACACGTGTACACACACACTCACGTGTACATACACACACGTGTACACACACACGTGTACACACACACACGTGTACACAGCCTCGGATGTACACACACGTGTACACACACACTCACGTGTACACACACACACGTGTACACACACGTGTACACACACACACTCACGTGTACACACACACACGTGTACACACACACACGTGTGCACACACACACACGCACCGCGTGCTGCAGTCGTGTTATTTTCATTGCTTCGCTCTCTCTCCTCCGTCTGGCTCCGCGGGTGGTCGCCAAGGCAACCGCGCGATGAGCGTTTCCCTGGCGACGAGGCGCGCGGATGCTGGTCTGCGGGTCACGTGACCCCCCCCCCCATCCTCACCACCATCACCACCCCAGCACTCCTCCTCCTCCCACCTCACCGTCTCCCTCCCCATCCATCGCCATCCCTCCCTCCCTCTCTCTGCACACACGGCGCACACACACAGCGCGCTCTCTCACGACACACTCCGTGCGGATGTTCATCGGAGACGAGCGCACAACGCAGCCAACACCACCACCAACACCACCAACACCACCGCCACCAACACCACCACCGCCACAGACGGTGGTTGTTGTGACGGCGTCTGCACGGTGTGTATGCTACAAACCTCGGGGGGGGGGGGGGGGGACATTTGATGTTTGGATAATTTAACAACCAAAAAAAATAACGAATTTCATTGTCGATTAGAATTATACATCGATCTGTTTTTTTGAGTTCGTCTTCATGATTTCTGTATTTTTTTTAGACGTTGCGGTTTCTGTGTTGCACGGATGCAGTTGTCAATAACCACTATAGCAATTTAAATGTATCCTGCATCATCATCATCATCAGCAGCGTGAGCCTTGATCTATCCACTGTTGAATGAAGTACTCCTCACCCCCCTGCTGCTCCCTCTTACGATCCATCTATCGATCCATCCTGAACCCCTTCACACACTCCATCTCCACGGGGGACGTACCCTCTCTCTCTCTCGTTCGCGTGGCTCCACATCTCCTTTGGCCGCCGTCGTCAGCACATTTAAAAAAACAATTTGTGTGTGTGGATTTGCTCTCCAACACACAAACCCGCCGTGTGCTCCACTAGTAACTGACTGGCACGTTCCGTTTACGTGACACACCTTAACGAATTGTCGGGTGGTGGCGAGTTTGACGACACACAAAAAAACCACCTCTACTACGGACGATGACATTGCTCGCGAAAGACACCGACGCGTTACACTGACACCGACAATTCTTCACCGTTCGCGTTTTGCGCTAGGCGGAGGTGGCGATTGTATTGGGGGGGAGATGCCTTCATCCAGCAGTGGATTGCACATGACTGATGGTCATTATTCATTTCTCTCCCCCCTCTTCCTCCTCCTACCCCCGTCTCAACTCCAGCCAGACGACGCCTCCATCGCCTCCCCCCCCGCCACGTCTCAGGGCGACGTGTCTAAGTTCAGTACAACGGCGTGGAGAGACGCACACGAGGAGCGATACGCAGCAGACACGAGGTGAGAGAGAGAGAGAGAGCGAGCGCCCTTGATGGCTTCCGTTCATCTTCAAAGGACCGTAAATACTAATCATACATATGGGGGGGTGAGCGAGCGGTGGCACAGTGGTTAGCGCGCTGTGCTCTAAGAATCCCTGCCACAACATTCGTTCGATTCCCAACACGCAGCGGTTAATCTCTCCCCCCGCGTCCACCCTTCACGAACCCGCACTGACCAGCGCGGTGAAGTATGGTCAAACAACACCCTCCCCCCCCCAGCCCCCCATCCCATTCATCCCATGAGCGACACACACGGCGTAGGGGGGGGGGGGCTTTAAATACCCGTCGGCCCCGTGAACGAAGCATCCGGGAAGCTAAGCAGGTAAGAGCCTGGATCGCGATTGGGTGGGTGACTACCACCGTGCAAAGGCAAAGATCCCCCGTATAGCCTCAACAGACTGGAGGGGCAAGTGCTATTGTAGCACCTATGAAGGCCGGCACGGCACACGAGGGGTGGGTGGCCAGCACCACGCCCCGGGCGCCTTTGTCTCCCCAGTGACGATGTTTACTACACACCGCACCAGGTACTCATTTTGAGGCTGAGTCGACCTAGGGGAGGCCCAGGACCGGTTCAGATAATCGTCACTGGGTGTTGGCCGTGTGCGGGAATCGAATTCGGGTCGCCGGGTTCGTAGCGCAGCGTAGCGCTAACCGCTACACCACCGCTCCCCACCTACCACCGTGCACCACAGGTGTTGCAGGCGTATTCCAGGCAGTGCCGTGGCGGTCAGCAGAGGGCAGTGCGGCCGAAATTCAATTGTTGTGTTGTACTTCTATGTTTCCGCACCTGCGATCTGTTGCCAGATAGAATGGTAAAAACAAATTATCATATTTTTTACTGGCAAATGAGGTTTCAATGGTGTAAATGCTTACCCTGAGCTCTCATACTCTGATGGTGCATTGTCTTTGAGTTGTGCGCATTTTGGCGTCATCTGGTCCAACCCATGTGAGACTAGGCTCTGAGGAAAGCTGTCTCGGGTGTGGACCAATCAACTTCAAGGACAGTGCATACATTATCAGAGTTATGTTTTTTGTTTGCATTATGGCTGCAGGTATTGTGGTCTATGCAAACATGACTCCTTGTAAAAAAAAAAAGGTGTCAGTTTTGTTGCCAGATAGAAGGGTAAAAAACAATTATCGTCTTCACCTTGTTAACCATACGAGGGTCAGGTGAGACGGTCAAGTTTGCCGGGCACGGCGATGACATCAGTTACTCGGGGCACGCACGACACCGGCTGACAACCGGCGTGGTGAAGTATGGCTGTGAGCAAACGGCCCACGAGCGACAAGGCGAAGTAAACTGCCCCTCGGTTCAACCAGCGGTGGATTGTAGGCGGCACTGGTGCAGTACAGGGCGGGGGTATGGAACATCGATTCTGATAATCATGATAACAATACCGATGAAGTATTAGATCCTCAAAGATGCATCGCACACACACATTGATGGCACTGGCCACGGCCCAGCGAGTGCTGTGCTTACGCACCTGCCTAGCCTCTAGCCCAGTGGCTCTTCACCTGGGGTGGCACGCACCCTCTGGGGTTGCGAGATGCCCTTTCTGTGCGTGCGAGACACGGACGGATTTTTTTTTATATATAGAAGGTAAATTATCGACACAAAAATTAATCACGGACACGTTAAGTTACAACTTACTTTAATAATAAGGGTTTTCCCCCCTTTTTTTCTGGCAATAAAACTGAAACCTTTTTTTATAAGGAATCATGTGCGCATTAACCACAATACTTGTGGTCTAAATGCAACCAAAAACACACTGATAATATATCCATTGTCCTTGAAACTGATTGGTCCACACCAGAGACGGCTTTCGTTGTTAACGACTGAGTAGCAAAGGGGTCCAAGGCTGCAGTGAAAGGTGAAGAACCACTGCTCTCGATGGTGTTTTGGCCTACTCCTCCATCGTTGGCCAGGCGCCTGAGGGGCGACGGTGGGAAAGGTGTGGGGGAGGTGGAGTGGCGGAGGTGGGGGCATTTTTTTTTAAGGAAATAGCCATATTCTTTGGTTCTTTATGTAAATTATAGATTTGAAGCTTGCGTGACTGCAAGGATTCATATTCTTAGGTTTTTTCGGTAAAGTCACGTAGGTTAAAAATGTAAATTTAAATTAATAAAATTAAAATAAAATAAAACCGTCACAGCACGATTGCTGTAATCTTACTTGATACAGCTATCGTGCTGTGACGGTTCCACCTGAAGACGGAAGCTTGTGTTGCCTCCGAAACGTCGTGATTTTTATTTTATTTTTATTTTATTAATTGTAATGTTTTACCTACGTGACTTTACCGAAAAAACCTAAGAATATCTTTCGGTAAAGTCGCGTAGATATTAAAATAAAAATAAGTGAATAAAAAAAATGAAATGAAAATAATTGAAAAACAAAAAAACACGAATGTAGACTGTAGCCTGGTTCTTAATCGGAGTGAGGATACTGACAGTCTATAATGTAGACTGTAGCCTGGTTATTAAGCTGGGTGAGTGTACTGGCAGTCTATAATATAGACTATAGCCTGGTTATTGAGTTTGGTGAGTGTACTGGCAGTGTATAATATAGGACTGTAGCCTGGTTCTTAATCTTGTGAGCGTACTGACTGGCAATCTATAATGTAGACCGTAGCTTGGTTATTAAGCTGGGTGAGTGTACTGGCAATCTATAACGTAGACTGTAGCCTGGTTATTAAGCTGGGTGAGTGTACTGGCAATCTATAACGTAGACTGTAGCCTGGTTATTAAGCTGGGTGAGTGTACTGGCAGTCTATAATGTCGACTGTAGCCTGGTTCTTAATCTCGGTGAGCGTACTGGCAATCTATAACGTAGACTGTAGCCTGGTTCTTAATCTCGGTGAGCGTACTGGCAATCTATAACGTAGATTGTAGCCTGGTTATTAAGCTGGGTGAGCGTACTGGCAATTTATAACGTAGACTGTAGCAATGGTTATTAATCTCGGTGAGCGTACTGGCAATCTATAACGTAGACTGTAGCAATGGTTATTAATCTCGGTGAGCGTACTGGCAATCTATAACGTAGACTGTAGCCTGGTTTTTAAGCTTAAATGCCAATTCTATAAAACTGTCAGCTGCCGCGCTCCGGGAGAACGATGGACGCAGGTCGCTAAGCGCTCTCGCAGGGTCCTCCTGCGAATGAGCGTCAAGACTCAGCGGTCAGCGGTGTTCGGAGGGTGTTGTCATGATCGGGTGAGTGTTGCTTGGAATGAATGAATGAATGTAGAACGCAAGCGAATCGGATATAGAGGAATGATTTGGTCCAGAATGATCTCACGGGTGTTATCAGAACCTCTTGTGCAGTACTCGGAAAGCCACACGGTACGAGATAGACACGACGGGGGGGAGGGTGTGATGTACTGTACATGTCGCACACACAAAGTTCCCCCATATAGCCTTCAGGGGCAAGTGCTGTCCGCGAGAAGCACCTATGAAGGCCGGCACGACGCACGAGGGGGTGGGTGGCCAGCACCACGCCCGGCCGCCTTTGTCTGCCAAGTGGTGATGTTTACACACCCACGCCGGGTACTCATTTTGAGGCTGAGTCGATCCAGGGAAGGACTAGGACCGGTTCAGATAATCGCCACCGGTGTTGGCCGTGAGCCAGAAGCGAGCTCGGGTCGCGGGTTCGACTGCGCAGCGCACTGATCGCTGCGCAAATGTTCCCCGCTACAAAGACAAAGATCCCCCGTATAGTCTTAACAGATTTAAATTTCGATTTAAAGCTTTCGTGACTGCAGGGATTCATCTTCTTGGTTCTTTCGGTAAAGTCACGTAGAAGGGAAATAATAACATAATAAAAATGAAACGTAATAAAATAATTCTCACGACGTTTCGGCCACAACGCAATCAGCCGTCCTCAGGTGAAGACCAGGTCTGTCGGGGAGACAGCGTCTGAATGAAACACCACCACGCTTGGAGCGTATATTTAAGCTGGGTTGGAAGGGTTGAAGGGCGTCTTGACAAAAGAATTTGCATATCAAGAGGAATTTCAGTTAAAGATAAGTGTGATTTGTAGAGTGTCTTGTCTAAGTGATCTAGTTCGGTGCGCGTAAGTCTGATTTTCTCTGAGATAAGAGCTAAGCTAGTTCTAGACCAGGGGTCGGGAACCTTTTTGACTGGGAGAGCCATAAAAGCCAAATATTTCTAAATATATTGCATTGAGAGCCATATAGTATTTTTAACGTATAATAAATTAAATATGTATTACTTTTAATGCGACTTCTGGTGCTGCATGGTTTTGCTGATGGCCTTGTAGTCTGGTTCGTACGTGCATATCAAGAGAAATTTAGCATATTTATGGGAAATGCAGGTATGTAATTAGTACTACGCCTTAACAGACTTTTGGGGCAAGTGCCATTAGCGTGGCACCTATGAAGGCCGGCACGGCACACGAGGGGGTGGGTGGCCACGCACATACACATCCAGACACACAAGAGTGGGAGATAATTATTGAATCAGCTTGTGAATTAGAAGAATCTATCCGTTTATCAGTGACGCATGTGTAAAGTGAGACAGGAGAGACGCGGAGAGAGAGAGAGATGGGGAGACATAGTCATGGAGACAGAGAGAGCGATATCCGTGTATAAAGTGTGTGTGTCTGTACCCTTATCGGTCGGGAGCGGTGGTACAGTGGTTGGCACGCTGCGCTACGAACCTGGTTCGATTCTCGCTCCCGATATTCGTCGCAATAAGAGTGACGATTTTCTAAACCGGTTCTGGGTCTCCCCTTAGGTCGACTCAGCCTCAAATGAGTGCCTGGTGCAATGTGTAAACATTGCCACTGCAGTGGCGTGGTTGGCCACCCACCCACTCGTGTGCCGTCGTTGATAGGTGCTCGCTCATAACACTTGCCCCAAAAGTCTGTTAAAGCTATACGGGGGGTCTTTGTCTTGTAGTAGACGTAAAACATAAAAACTTAAATATTTTAACGTTTTTTTATTTTACCAAGTAAAGCCCAACTCAGAAGCGACCTGGCCACAAATGATAACTCAACGAAGTGGCTTATCACGTGGAAAATACTTAAATGTGGAGGGAAAAACCGGAGGACCCAGAAAAAATCCAAACGACCACGGGGAGAGAAACACGCAAACTCCAAATATACAACAGCGGGCGTCAGGGTCGGGATCGAACCCACGACCTCCTGTAGACCACGCGAGGTAGTTAACATCTCTTAGCCACCGTGATAATGATGAGTGAGAGAGACACGCAAACTCCAAATATACAGCAGGCGTCAGTCAGGATCGAACCCACGACCATCCTGTATACCAGGCGAGGTTGTTAACATCTCGCCACGGTGGCGCTGTATCTCTTTCAGTGCAGAGACGGTGAAACAGATACGTAGAGATAGAGACAGAAAGACAGAGACGGGCAGATACAGGCAACCAAGAGATAACGACCCCGACAGAAATGATGACTTAGCACGGAGGCTTTCGCGACCAATAATATCCATAACAAATCTGGCTCTCGCCTGATTTTGCAAGTTGTGATTGCTGGCGAAACGTCGTACTCGAATTCTAAATGTTGTGCGTTTACTCTCCAACACATCGGTGTGCTGTACTAGTAACTAATTGGCATGTTTTTTTGACGTGACAAGCCTTAACTAATTGGCTGTGTCGGATGGTGGCGGGTTTAACAACACATTTATATTTACGCGATTTAACCCCCAAAAAAACCCTCTATTATGGAGAGATGATTATCATTCCGCTTGTTGACCCAGCAAAGTTTCACTGAGTCTTATGACTCTTTTTCAGGAGGGTCCTGCCAGGCTCACGCAGAAGGGGGTGATGTTGATTGCTGCTGCTGCTGTGTGATTTTCTGAACCGGTCCTAGGCCCCTCCTACTGTAGGTCGACTCAGCCTCAAATGGGTACCTGGTACCGGCGTGGTTTTGGCCACACCACCTACAGCACCTCCTCATGTGCCGTGCCGGCCTTCATAGGTGCTCCTCGCTAACAGCACTTATCCTAACCGTCTCTTTAGGCTATAGGGGGGATCTTTGCCTTTGCTATCATTACACACAAAGTGCTTGACACAAAGGAACCACAATACCATGCTGATCTCGTCAAGCAGCATAAACCATCACGCGAACTACGGTGGTCATCCTCGTAGCAGCGGCTTTTCGCTGCGAGCCATCGAACAAAGACGGTCACTCCTTCGCGCGGCGCTTTCAGATGCACTTCTGCGGCCGTCTGGAACGCTCTTCCTTCCGATATTAGGAAGCCACTGGAGCTATGCAATTTTAAATCATCATCTAGTTTGACAAACTAATTTCTTTAGAACTGCTTCTTGTTGTGTTTAGTGGTGTTGTCCTTCCTCCGCACCTCCGATTAGCACGGTTGGCTACGTACGGTGCAAAAGAAGTCCAACATATTCTTAGGTTTTTTCGGTAAAGTCACGTAGGTACCTACGTGACTTTACCGAAAAAACCTAAGAATATGAATTCTTGCAGTCACGAAAGCTTCAAATCTAGAAGTTCAACATACTTGCATACATTGAGTCATTTTAGAGATATATAGACAGAGACGGGCAGCATCAAAGAGAGCGAGACGAACACAGAGGCAGGCAGGCAGAAACAGACACGAGTAGAGACAGACACAAACAGACGGAGGTTTTGTGGGTGGGGGGGGGGGGTGTCGTCAAACTCTGTGGGTGGGACGAGACTGGGCATAGGCAGGGAGAAATACAAAGGTTTCATCTTCTTGGTTCTTTCGGTAAAGTCACGTAGAAGGGAAGTAATAAATTATTATATTATTATATTATTTTAGTATGTTTTATTTTTATTGTTTTTTTATTTTATTACTTCCCTTCTACGTGACTTTACCGAAAGAACCAAGAAGATGAATCCCTGCAGTCACGAAAGCTTTAAATCGAAAACAAAATACAAAGGTGGCGAGGAGGAGAGAGTGAAGAGAGAGGGGAGAGATGGGGGAGGCGAGAGAGAGGTAAACTCGGTGAGCGGTAATGCTGTAATGAGAATAGTTAACGGAGCGTTGGAAATCGGGTTTCTAGCGCAGTGTGCTCACTGCTGCGCCACCGCTCCCACCACCTACCCCACCCACCATATCGCGGTGACCTTCACGATGATGGATCGTTTGCGGTCAGCGATGGTGTCGATGTTGATGGCAGTAACACTGGCGATGTCAACGATGATGATGATGAAGAATGTATGATGATGTCAACGATGGTGTTAATGATGGCAATTTAACTTTGATGATGATAATGATCAGTGCCGGATTATCCTAGTTGCACAAGTAGCTACAAATGCTACGGGCCGCGCACTTTCAAGCTATCAATTCCGGTTCAGTGATTCTGCACTTGCTCTATTACTATAGTACTATACCGCCTTCAACTTTTATGAACGACTGGGTGTTTAAGGTTAGCGATTTGTCGTATTATCTGGCTGTATAGCAAATTAAAGATTACAATTGCTTTACTATGCAAGTAAAAAAATGTGTGTTTTAATATTTACGTGTTTTTATTTTATTTTAGGGCCCCTTTATAACATATGCTACAGGCCCCGGCACTAGCTTAATCCGGCACTGATAATAATGCGGATGTTGTCGATGATGATTTGTATTATTGGCGATGATGATGATGATAGCAACGCTACTCGCGGCGACCACGTTGTTGACGATGTTGTTGTTGTTGTTGTCGGTAATTATTCCGATGTTGACGTCGGCCATGAGTAACAGTGAGGGCCGTAAATGTTGTTGCTATTCACGGCGACGGCGTGGGTGATGTCAGTGACGGTGATGTCAAGCAGCGACGTTGCCGTTCGCCATGCTGCGAGCCTCCTAGATGCGCACGTGAAGATGTTGCTGTCGACCTCGATGCTCACGGTGTCGATGTGGGTGCCGTTGAGGAGGTCAGCGATGATGTGGCGTTGCAAGCAGTTTCAGTTTATTAGGTATAGCCCTCTTCTTGGTTCTTTCGGTAAAGTCACGTAGGAAGGGAAATAATAAAATAATGAAAATAAAAGAGAGAATTATTTTATTATGTTTTATTTTTATTATTTTATTATTTCCCTTCTACGTGACTTTACCGAAAGAACCAAGAAGATGAATCCCTGCAGTCACGAAAGCTTTAAATCGAAGGTATAGCGCTGTGAGCCATTCGGCTCTTGAATCGGGTGCAACCGCAACAAACAGAAAACATGAACAAAAAAACATCTTAAAGTGACTGCGCGCAACAGAAAAATCCAGGAAAAAACAGCAAAGTCTTCCAGGAAAAGCACCGTGTATCAATGCTGTGTGCAAAACAATAACAACAACCATAAGACAATTTAGATTAAAATTATCAGTCTAACTCTGTACTACAACAAACAAACATTGCTAAACCAAAACGTTTTCGAAATCACCCAGCGACTCGAGTTCCATTCGCGCTCACGGCCACCAACACCAGTGACGAAATCTGAACCGCTCCTGTGCCTCCTTTAGGTCGACTCAGCCTCGAATGAGTACCTGGTGCGGTGTGTAGTTAACAATCGCCACTGCGGTGAGACAAAGGCGGCCGGGCGTGGTGCTGGCCACCCACCCCGTCGTGTGCCGTGTCGGCCTTTAACGAACAGCACTTGCCCCCCCCCCAACAGTCTGCGAAGGCTATACGGGGGATCTTTGTCTTTGCTCATGTCAATGGTGGTGTTCCTCAGGCCCACGGCGATGGGAAAGCAACGCCTGACGCTGGGACTCCGTCTCCCACGCTCCACTCCCCGCAGGAACAGCCTCTCGTCTTCCCTGGAGGCGCTCTCCCTCTACCTGCCCTGCCTCTCGCCTCCCGGCTCGCACCCCGGTGCGGGTGCGTGCATGCGTCTAGGTCGACTCAGCCTCGAATGGGTACCTGGTGCGGTGTGTTGTAAACATCGCCGCTGGGGTGAGACAAATGCGGCCGGGCGTGGTGTTGGCCACCCACCCCCTCGTGCTCCGTGCCGGCCCCTTCATAAGTGTTGCTCGCTAACAGCACTTGCCCCGACGGTCTGTGAAGGCTACCCGGGGTGCCTTTGTCTTTGTATGCGATGCTTGCCGAGTGAAGTGGGGAGCGGTGGTGTGGCGGTCAGCGCGCTGCGCTACGAACCCGGCAAACCCGAGTTCGATTCCCGCTCACGGCCCACCAATGCCAGCGACGATTCTCTGAACCGCCTAAAATGAGCACCCGGTGCGGTGTCGTTAACATGAGTACTGGAGAGACAAAGGCGGCCGGGCGTGGTGTTGGCCACCCAGCCCCCTCGTGCACCAGAGTGCGTGGCCTTCGTACAGTGAGGGAAAAAAGTATTTGATCCCCTGCTGATTTTGTACGTTTGCCCACTGACAAAGAAATGATCAGTCTATAATTTTAATGGTAGGTTTATTTGAACAGTGAGAGACAGAATAACAACAACAAAATCCAGAAAAACGCATGTCAAAAATGTTATAAATTGATTTGCATTTTAACGAGGGATATAAGTATTTAACCCCTCTGCAAAACATGACTTAGTACTTGGTGACAAAACCCTTGTTGGCAATCACAGAGGTCAGACGTTTTTTGTAGTTGGCCACCAGGTTTGCACACATCTCAGGAGGGATTTTGTCCCACTCCTCTTTGCAGATCTTCTCCAAGTCATTAAGGTTTCGAGGCTGACGTTTGGCAACTCGAACCTTCAGCTGCTCGGTAACAGCACTTGCCCCAACACTCTGTTGAAGGCTATACGGGGGATCTTTGTTTTGCTGGACACGCGTGTGTAGTAGGGTTAGGTGGCGGCTAACCACGTGACCTCTAGTCCATCACCGTGGAGGCAACAGCAAGGGATTGGTGGATAACACAGACATGTTGCGAAACTTCCCTTCCCCTGGGTGGGCGTCGAGGAGGAGCCGTACCCCATGGCTCTGCCAGGAGAAGGCGGCACAGCAAAGATGTGGGCTCCCATCTGTTCCGCCTGCACGGGGATAGAGCGTTTCCCCCTCGCGTGCGTGGGCTTTCTCTGGGCGCTCCGCTTTCCTGCCACGCGTAAACATTCATTATTGGCACCACGGTGGCAAGATGTTAACTACCTTGCCTGATTTAAATTTCGATTTAAAGCTTTCGTGACTGCAGGGATTCATCTTCTTGGTTCTTTCGGTAAAGTCACGTAGAATGGAAAGAATAAAATAATAAACATAAAACATAATAAAATAATTCTCACGACGTTTTGGCCACAACGCAAGCAGCCGGGTTCGATCCTGACCCTGACGCCTGCTGTATATTTTGAATTTGCATGTTCTCCCCAATAGCACATTCATATAAACAGTGGAGCGCAGAGCTTGGGCAATTGTTGGTAGCGCTGGCTTCTAATCACCGCGTGGCTGCTGTCGCTGCCTCCCCACTCGTCTGTGGTTCCTTCTCCTGGCGCCTCTGAGTCGTCCCCCCTCCTCTCTCTCTTTGAGTCGTCCCCTCTCTGAGTCATCCCCCCTCTGAGTCGTCCCCTCTGACTCGTCCCCTCTCTGAGTCGTCTCCTCTCTCTCTGAGCCGTCCCCCCTCACTCTCTCTGAGTCGTCCCCTCTCTGAGTCGTCCTCTCTCTCTCTCTGAGTCGTCCCCTCTCTCTCTGAGTCGTCCCCTCTCTCTCTGAGTCGTCCCCTCTATGAGTCGTCCCCTCTCTCTCTGAGTCGTCCTCTCTCTCTCTCTCTGAGCCGCCCCCCCTCTCTCTGAGTCGTCCCCTCTATGAGTCGTCCTCTCTCTCTCTCTGAGCCGTCCCCCCTCACTTTCTCTGAGTCGTCCTCTCTCTCTCTCTGAGTCGTCCCCTCTGAGTCGTCCCCTTTCTCTGAGTTATCCCCCCTCTGAGTCGTCCCCTCTATGAGTCGTACCCCCTCTCTCTGTCTGAGTCATCCTTTTCTCTGAGTTGTCCCCTCTATGTGTCGTCCCCTCTCTCTCTCTGAGTCGTCCCTGAGTCGTCCTCTCTCTGAGTCGCCCCCTCTCTCTATGACTCGTCCCCTCTCTCTGAGTCGTCCCTTCTCTCTCTCTGAGCCGTCCCCTCTATGAGTCGTCCCCCCTCTCCCTGAGTCGTCCTCTCCTATCTCTACGAGAGCGAGGAGCGGATATCGTGCAGCAGCGCAGCGTTACGAGTTGAGCTCATTATGATTACAGTATTATTGCCCTAACCCAGTTTCCTGCACTCATTTTCAGGGGGCGGGGGTGGTGGGACACTTTCGCCGATAAGACATAATCCGTTTTGAGGGCCTGGCACGCATTTGAATCCATTAGGGTGTTATATTTTAAAAAAACGTTAAAATTAAAACACATACATGTTTTACTTGCATAGTAAAATAATTGTAATTTTCCATTTGCTATACAACCGGATAATACGACAGACAAATCGCAAACCTTAAACACCCAGTCGTTCACACAAGTTGAAGGCGGTATAGTACTATAGTAATAGAGCAAGTGCAGAATCACTGAACCGGAATTGATAGCTTCAAAGCATTTAGCGCGGGGCCCTTTAAAGTGCGGGCCCCGTAGCTACTACATGTAGTAGCTACTACATATGAAGTAGCTACTATCTTCTTGGTTCTTTCGGTAAAGTCACGTGGAAGGGAAATAATAAAAAGAATAAAAAGAAAACATAATTAAATGTTTGATTTTAATTTTTATTATTTTATTATGTTTTATTTTTATTATTTTATTATTTCCCTTCTACGTGACTTTACCGAAAGAACCAAGACGATGAATCCCTGCAGTCACGAAAGCTTTACATCGAAATTTAGTAGCTACTACTTGTGCTGCTAGGATAAAGAGGCACTGACGTCATGGGGTCGCACTAAAGGCCACTAAGGGGCCACCATTGGCCAGCGGGGAGGGCCTTGCAATGACGAAACGCTGCCAACTAAAACCGTGGCGAATCACGGCTGCAACGGCCACCTCCTCGCGACGCGCACGGGGCGAGCCGTGGGGATAGGGAGCCTCAGGACATCGGTGAGCGCGCGTGTCCCACCAACCCCTCGAAGCCGCTGCATCCGCTACCGCTGTGTTGCAGGCGGCCACGTGTAGCATCGCCCCCCCCCCCCCCCCCAGCTGCGCGTCGTGGGCCACACGGGGAGATCTTTAAAACTCGACTAATTTTTATTATACCAGGTAAGGCCCACTGAGCTATGTAGCTTTTTAAATTTTCGGACGTGACCTGGCCGCCACAAATGACAGCTCAACGTGGAAATGTTTTTGCGGGAGCCGAATACTCCGAAGAAAAGGCATGATGTTCATTCTAAATGTGGAGGGGAAAACCCGGAGGACCCGATGAAAAATTCACGCGACCACAGGGAGAGAGAGAGACACACTGCAAACTCTAAATATACAGCAGCAGGCGTCAGGGTCGGGATCGAACCCACGACCTCCTGCACACCAGGCGAGGGAGTTAACATCTCATAGCCACCTTGATGATGATGTGAGAGAGACACGCAAACTCTAAATATACAGCAGCAGGCGTCAGGGTCGGGATCGAACCCACGACCTCCTGCATACCAGGCGAGGGAGTTAACATCTCATAGCCACCTTGATGATGATGATGAGAGAGAGACACACTGCAAACTCTAAACATACAGCAGCAGGTGTCAGGGTCGGGATCGAACCCACCACCTCCTGCATACCAGGCGAGGGAGTTAACATCTCATAGCCACCGTGGCACCCAAAGGTCAGGAGATGGCAGCACCCTTACCCAAAAGTAAGGGGTGCCATGGTGGCTAGGAGATGTTAACTACCTCGCCTGGTATGCATGAGGTCATGGGGTAGATCCCGACCCTGACGCCTGCTGCTGTATATTAGTAATTTGCGGTGTCTCTCTCTCTCATCATCATCACGGTGGCTAGGAGATGTTAACTACCTCGCCTGGTACACAGGAGGTCATGTGTTAGATCCCGACCCTGACGCCTGCTGCTGTATATTTGGAATCTGCGGTATCCCTTTCTCTCTCTCCCCGTGGTCGCGTGGATTCTTCTCCGGGTCCTCCGGTGTTTTCCCCTGCACATTTAGAATCAACGTCGCGCGTTTAGAGTATTTGGGCTGCTGTACATTTCCACACACTGATGACCAGCAACTTCGCTGAGCTGTCGTTTGTGATGGCCAGGCCGCTTCTGAAGAAGAGCCACATAGCTCAGTGGGGCCTTACCTGGTAACATAGAATTTTTTTTAATTATGAATACTTTTTGTCTGTCCCCCCCCCCCATGCCCCCCAATTTACCCCCTCCCAATGCCCTCCTCCCAATGCCCCCCATGCTCTCCCCACAATGCCCCCCATGCCCTCCCTCCAATGCCCCCCATGCCCCCCAATTTACCCCCTCCCATGCCCCCTCCCCATGCCCTCCCCCCATGCCCTCCCCACAATGCCCCCTCCCCTCCCCCAGGTGTGCGTCGGCACAGCACGGTGCGGCGCAGCACGGAGACGGGTTTGGCCGCGGAGCCCCCCACGCGCTCCCCGCGGGGGGGGGCGCCCCCCCCTGCCGGCCTCTCCCCCCGGCCCACCCCCACCCCACACCCCCGCGCCTCCGTCTCCAGCCGAGCTCACAGCCTGCCCTGCGAGTCCACTCTGTACGCGGGCCACAGCACGGGGGGGAGGGAGGGGGGCACGTGGGGCACGGGGGGGGGGGGGGGGGCAGCACGTGGGGCACGGGGGGGGGGGCAGCACGTGGAGAGAAGCACACGGGGCAGCACGCGAGTGGGGGGGGGGGGGGGGAGCACAGAGCAGCAGAGGAAGATCGGGGGCAGCGTGGGGGCAGTACACAGAGCAACAGCTGAGGCATGGGGAAAGCAGAGGAAGGTCTGGGCAGCATGGGGCAGTGGGGGCAGCAGGAGCAATGCAGCAGGAGCAGCTGTAAGGTGGGCATAGTGTTAGGGTGAGTTTAGTAGGGAGCACAGACCAGGGCAGGGTTGAGTGGTTAAAGGTAAGGGTGGCTAGGCCGTAGCTAGTTGACGCAGGGCGCTGTACCCCCCCAATAGTAATTGTTGTGGTTGTTGTGGTTGTGGCAGGGCGCTGTACCCCCCCAATAGTAATTGTTGTGGTGGTTGTTGTGGTTGTGGCAGGGCGCTGTACCCCCAGGTGAGGCTGCACTCCCACGCTGAGCTGAGCGGCTTTCTGGACGGACTGGGGCCGGGCCAAGTGGCAGGGAGACAGAGCCTGGCCACCCTCTCCCTCGGTACGGCAACCACCAACAACAACAACAACACCACCACCAACAACACCACCAATACTAATACCAACACCACCACCAACAACACCACCACCACCAACAACAACACCAATACTAATGCCAACACCACCACCACCAACAACAACACCAATACTAATACCAATACCACCACCAACAACACCACCTCCAATACTAATACCAAAACCACCAACAACACCACTATCAATACTACCAATAGCACCACTGCCAATGCCACAACCACCATCACCACCAAAAATTACACCACTGCCACCAACACCACTATCACCATCAACAACAACACCACCACCAACAACAACACTACTAATACCGCCAACACGACCATCCAATACTAATAACAACACCACCACCAATACTAATACCAACACTACCACCAACAACACCACCACCAATACTAATACCAACACCACCAACAAGACCACAACCAACACCACTATCAATACCACCAAGAGCACCACTGCCAATGCCACAACCACCATCACCACCGACAATAACACCACCAACACCACTATCACCACTATCACCACCACCAATACCACCACCAACAACACCCCCAATACCACCAACACCACCATCACCACCATCACCACCACCAAAATTAGCACAACACCAACAACAACTACAATAATATCACCACTAACGCAACACTACCACCGTGCGCAATGAATGGGGTGTGTACGTGGTGGTATGTGAATGTGCTGTGTGTGCTGTGTTGGTGTGTGCTGTGTCTTGGTATGTGCTGTCTTGGTGTGTGTTGTGTGTGGTGGTGGTGTGTGCTGTGTGTGGTGGTGGTATGTGTGGTGGTGGTGTGTGCTGTGTGTGGTGGTGCTGTGTGTGGTGGTGGTATGTGTGGTGGTGGTGTGTGCTGTGTATTGGTCAGTCCCTCCAGAAAAACGCGATTATGCGATCGCAAGATTCCACGCAAAATCAGCCAAAGTTCGCATATTTATGCGGGGGGCGCGTTTTTTCAAATACGCCGCACTTTCGCCGCATAAATTGCAGATTTCCGCGCGCAAAATATGCGGGCTTGCATGATTTCATAATCCCCGCATTTTCGTTGCAAAAAGTCACATATATCTTAGCAGAAAGTTGAAAAATGTTGCGTTTACTTCACACAAGCGCAGCCATTTCCCCTGTTGCCATGGGAACGTTATGAAGTGTTAGAGGCTACGTAGTTAGTTTTATTTAGGAGTTTATGCAACTTTACAGTTGTAAGATTGCACTTTTTTGTTAGTAGTATGTAAATTTACATTACTGTAAGACTGTACTGTTACTGTATTGCTTACGTTACTGTGCACTGAAAACACTTATTTTAACAGAAGATGTCTGTTTTGTATAGCTACCTCTGTAAAACAGGAAGCACACATTTTATTTTTTAATATTTTATTTATTCATTTTTACAGAAGTTGTAGCATATTCATTTTGTAAAGCTACAGAACTTGTTCGACTCAATGTTTTGTAAGTTTGAGCCATCTGTTTGTTAAGGTCTGAAATAAAACAAGATGAGAACTTAAATATTCCCAGCCCTTTCTGTGATGTAGTATGCTTGCTTATCATAGGAAGTAATAAGAAATGACTCTTTACATTAAAATAGTAGCCTAGTGAATAGGGTGTTGGGGGAATCACTTTTTTTTCTCTTTTTCATCAAACCGCAGTTTTTGCAAGTTCCCGCAATTTTATCGCATAAAATTGAATAAATATCCCGCATATTCCATCGCATTTTTTAAGAAAACGTGCCACATAATCAACGATTTTTGCCCGCAACAATCACCAAAAAACTCCGCGTTTTTCTGGAGGGACTGATTGGTGTGTGCTGTGTGTGGTGATGACCCGAGTGTGTGTATGTGGTGGTGTATGTGGTGTGTGTTGGTGTGTGCTGTGTGTGGTGGTGCTGTGTGTGGTGGTGTGTGCTGTGTGTGGTGGTGGTGTGTGCCGTGTGTGGTGATGACCAGAGCGTGTGTATGTGGTGGTGGTGTATGTACTGTGTGTGGTGGTGGTGTGTGTTTGTGGTGTGTGCTGCGTGTTGTTGTGTGTGGTGGTGGTGGTGGTGTGTGTGCTGCGTGTTGGTGTGTGTGGTGGTGGTGCTGTGTGTTGGTGGTGACCGGAGTGTGTGTATGTGGTGGTGGTGTATGTACTGTGTGTGGTGGTGGTGTGTGTTGGTGGTGTGTGCTGAGTGTTGTTGTGTGTGGTGGTGGTGGTGTGTGTGCTGCGTGTTGGTGTGTGTGGTGGTGGTGCTGTGTGTTGGTGGTGACCGGAGTGTGTGTATGTGGTGGTGGTGTGTGTGCTGTGTGTGGTGGTGGTGTGTGTACTGTGTGTGGTGGTGGTGTGTGTGGTGGTGTGTGTGATTGTGTGTGGTGTATGTGGTGGTGGTGTATGTGGTGTGCGTAGGGGACGTGGAGCTGGGCGTCTCTCTGAAGGACGAGGGCCTCACTGTGGATCTGCTGCGAGCCCGCAACCTCGTTCCGAAACCCGGAGCCAAGACACTGCCACGTGAGAGCCACAACCACGACCACGCCACAACCATGCCACAATCACGCCACAACCACAACCACACCACAACCACGACCACGCCACAACCATGCCACAACCACGCCACAACCACAACCACACCACAACCACGACCACACCACAACCATGCCACAACCACGCCACAACCACAACCACGCTACAACCACAACCATGCCACAACCACACCACAACCATGCCACAACCACGCCACAACCATGCCACAACCATGCCACAACCACACCACAACCATGCCACAACCACGCCACAACCACAACCACCCCACAACCATGCCACAACCATGCCACAACCAATGCCACAATCACCCGACAAGCATGCCATGCCACACCACAACCACACCACAACCATGCCACAACCATGCCACAACCACAACCACACCACAACCATGCCACAACCACTCCACAACCAATGCCACAATCACCCGACAAGCATGCCATGCCACACCACTCCACAACCATGCCACAACCATGCCACAACCACACCACAACCATGCCACAACCACTCCACAACCAATGCCACAATCACCCAACAAGCATGTCATGCCACACCACACCACAACCACCTCGCAACCAAAGCACAACCACGTTATGGCACACCACGCCACAACCACGCCACAACCACACCACAACCACGCCACATCCATAGCAGAGCACAACAACCCCACAACAAACCCACACACCAGCACAACCACATCACAACCACAGCACGCCACAACCAAACCACAACCAAACCCACACCACACTACAACCACGCCATAACCACACCACAACCACCCCACACAACAGCACAACCACACCACAACCATAGCACGCCACAACCAAACCACAACCAAACCCACACCACACTACCACGCCACAACCACCCCACAACCAACCCACACAACAGCACAACCACACCACAACCACAGCATGCCACAACCAAACCACAACCAAACCCACACCACGCCACAACCACCCCACAACCAAGCCACAACCACGCCACAACAGATGAAGCGATGAAACGGAGACTGTGTGTGTGTGTGGAACTCTGTGTGTGTGTGTTTGATTGTTCAGCGCTTACAGCGCTGCGCTATGAACCCAGCAACCCGAGTTCGATTCCCACTCACGGCCAATATCAGTGTGAACATCACACGAGGTACTCATTGGTGATACAGTAAAGTCAGCCGGGCGTAGTGCTGGCCACCCCCTTGTGTGCCATGGCGGCCTTCATCAACGCTGCTCGCTCACACACCCCCATCGGTGCGTGGAGGCTACCCGGGGGATCTTTGCCTGTGCCTGTGTCCTCACTTGCCCCGGTCGGTGTGTGGAGGCTACGCTGGGGATCTTTGCCTGTTCATAATCAACGTACTGATTGGCCGTGTCGGGTGGTGGAGGGTTACGACACATTTATAAATAAACGCGATCTAAACCCAAAAACGTTGATTATGAATAACATTGGTCGCGAAAGCCTACGTGTTAAACTGATCTTTGCCTGTGTCTGTGTGTGGCAGTGCTCACGGTGAAGGTGTACCTGCTGTGCGGGGGGGCGTGCGTGGACAAGCGCAAGGTGCGTGCCGCGCAGCGCTCGCTCGAGCCGGACTTCCACCACAAGCTGACCTTCGACGAGACCCCGCGCGGGAAGGTCCTCCAGGTGAGGTCGCACTCACCACCAGCGGCCACGCTCACCACACTCACCACACTCGCCACGCTCAACACACTCACCACGCTCACCACACTCACCACACTCACCACGCTCACCACACTCACCACACTCACCACGCTCACCACACTCACCACACTCACCACGCTCACCACACTCACCACACTCACCACGCTCACCACACTCACCACACTCGCCACGCTCAACACACTCACCACGCTCACCACACTCATCACACTCACCACGCTCACCACACTCACCACACTCACCACGCTCACCACACTCACCACACTCACCACGCTCACCACGCTCACCACACTCGCCACGCTCAACACACTCACCACGCTCACCACACTCGCCACGCTCACCACACTCGCCACACTCACCACGCTCACCACGCTCACCACACTCGCCACGCTCACCACCCTCAACACCCTCACCACACTCAACACACTCACCACGCTCACCACGCTCGCCACGCTCACCACACTCATCACGCTAACCACAGTCCCCGGCTCGCCACACTCGCTACGCTCAACACACTCACCACGCTCACCACGCTCAACACACTCACCACGCTCACCACACTCGCCACGCTCAACACACTCACCACACTCACCACACTCACCACGCTCAACACACTCACCATGCTCACCACGCTCAACACACTCGCCACGCTCAACACACTCGCCACGCTCGCCGCACTCACCACGTTCGCCGCACTCGCCACTCGCCAACTCACCACACTCGCGACACTCCCCGACTCACCACGCTCGCCAGACTGGCCAGGGCGAGCTCACAACAACGGCGGCAGCAACAAGAAAAGCCGCAGTTCGCCACCAAGTGCAGATGGCGTACCCACCACGGCGCCTGCGCCAGGCTAGGTGCACTTTGAGGCCACGTGACGTGTGGGCTCTTTGCTGGCAGGAGGTCATGGTGCAGACCCAGGTGCTGTGAGTTGACCGACCGAGACGACCGTTTTATCCGCCCGGCGCTCCGCTCATTGTTGTGAGCGTGGCTCCGTTGTTGCCGTAGGGGGGTAGGGGGTGGCTGCTGCCTCCAACTGCCCAGTGGCTCCCTCCCAGTGGCTCCCTCCCAGTGGCTCCCTCCCAGTGGCTCCCTCCCAGTGGCTCCCTCCCTCCCAGGTGGTGCTGTGGGGCGACTACAGCCGGCGCGACAGCAAGTCCTTCATGGGGCTGGCTCAGATCGCTCTGGACGAGCTGGGCCTGCACCCTGCCTCCTCGACCGGCGACGAAGACGAAGAGGAGGGCGGCGGCGGTGGCGGCGGCGCCAACAACAACAACAACAGCAGCGGTGCCAACGCCGGCGACGCCGGCGACTCCGGGGGCACGGACGCCGCGGCCGCCGGTGCTACCGGTGCCGCCGGCGCCCCCCCCGTCTCGACCGTCGCTGCCGCCGAGTGCCACGCCCCGGCGTGGTACCGGCTGTTCCCGCGCGGCGCCGGCGCCCTGCTGGCGGGGCGGCCCACGGCGCGCGCCATCTCCGAGTCGTCGCTGGAGAGCGCGTCGGCGCTCGACCCCAGCTCGCCGGGCTACGAGTCGCTCTCGCCGGGCGTGGAGTCGCTCTCGCCGAGCCCCTTCGGCTCGCGCTCGCTCATCACGCCGAGCCCCAGCTTCGAGGGCCACGCGGCCGGAGGGGCCGCGGCGGCGGCGGCGCCGATGGCCGGCGCGAGTTCGCTGGAGCGGCCGCTGAGTTACGGCGAGGTGAGAGGAGAAGCGTCGTGAAGGGGGCCGAGAGGCCCGAGGGAGGCGACGATGCTGCTGCTGCTGCGTCGCGCCGTGAGGGAGACGCTGCCACGGGAGACGGAGGGAGCAGGGGGGGGCAGGGGGGGAGGTGCGTGGGAGAGCGAGTCTCTGATACTGATGTTCCACAGTTTTTATTAATTTTTATTACGATCGTAGGGGAGATTTTTTTGTCCCGAGGTTGTTGCGTTTCCTCCCATTCGCTGCCCTATTCACTATTTTGCGTCGGTAGCCCCCAGCTCATGGAATACGGAGGGGGAAGCCCCTTGGTTGGTGTCTGTGGAGTGTTCGGGATAGAGCTTAGCGCTAGCTGTTGTTACTCTGGAGGGTTAGCGTTAGGGTTTTGAGTTAAGGCTGATGGGGTATAGGGGTTAGGCTGCAGCGTTAGGGTTACTAATTAATTAGAGCTTAGCGGTTAGGGTTAAGGATTAGTGTTAGGAACCACCCCTCGCAGCAGGAACCACCTATTTGTTCTAGATTCAACGACTAATGCCAGCAGACTCGTTTCTGAGATCAGAGGCAATACACGGGCCACAAGACTTCCCCAACACGATCTTCTAAGATGATCATTACCGTCAAAATGACCCCCTCCACCCCCGTCGCCCAATTCGCCGAACGTCGTTGCGTTGTCGGGGGCGGACGTTGAGCGAGCGAGAAGCGAGGTCAGAACGGACGCGAGAGGGAGTGGAGGACGAGACGGTGGTGGTCGCGGTGGTGGCGGCGGTGGCGGCAGTGGTGCGGTTAAAATCTGCGATGTGCACCTCCCGTCATCGTCGTCGTCGTCAGCTGCTGCTGCTGCTGCTGCTCCGCTATCCTGATCAGGGCCGTCCAGACAGGTTGGGGGTGTAGGGGGCGGTGGCGGTAAGCAAAGCGCCACTTGGCACCGGACCTCACACGAAAGAGGGGACCCCCGCGGCACTGATGCCGATTGATCTTTACAAAAGAATAATAATAATTAAGAATCTTACCGAAGCATTCATTATTTATTAATATCCGTCCAACAAAAAAGGGCTGTCCCGTCGCGGTCTTCGCGCTCCGGCCAGCCAGCCAGCGAGCCATTGGAACTTTGCGCAACACGGACAAGGCCACGGGTGACAACGCCGACCGCCTGTGGCGGCTCTGCATTTAAAGAACGGAGCGCTCTGAACGTCGGGGATCCAGGGCTCCGTCGGGCGCACGGCAGAGGTCGCAAACGGGTTTTGATTCCTTACCCGTACCCGGCCGCACCAGGGTCGCAAACGGGTACCCGTTCCCTACCCGTACTCGTACCCTACCCGAAATGAGTGACAAACGGTTACTCACCAGTGACTCACGGCCTACCCGTACCCGGCCGCACCAGGGTCGCAAACGGGTACCCGTACCCGGCCGGGTACGGGTAGCCGGGTATCGGGTAGGGTACGGGTATCGGGTACCCGGTTGCGACCTCTGGCTGCTGCGCGTCGCGACGCTTCCGGCCGTGCGCCAAAGCCTCTGGCCAAGCGTGGCACGCAAGTCGGACGCTTCTCGATTTTAAAGTTTCCCGTCACGGTTCTTGGGTGGGCTCCGGGGGAGGTGGGGGGGGTCGTAGGTTCCGAGCCGGCGCCGCCAAACTCCTGGGTTCGAATCTGGGGGTCCAGCCGCAGCGATGGAGCCGAGGACTCGAGTCGTACCGACGTCGACGATCTCAGCCCGGTCACCCGACGACCGCCGAAACAAAAAACCACTCGCTCGCATTCGATTTAACGGAAAGTTTGAGCTTCCTTTGGCTAAATCAGAAATCCGAGAATTGAAAAAAATATCTTTCGATTTAAAGCTTTCGTGACTGCAGGGATTCATCGTCTTGGTTCTTTCGGGAAAGTCACGTAGAAGGGAAATAATAACATAAAATAAAAAAGTTTTATTATGTATTTATTTATTTTATTTATTCCCTTCTACGTGACTTTACCGAAAGAACCAAGAAGATGAAAAAAGATCGATCGGTTCAACTGCCGTGCGACAAGCATTTCCATCCGCGGCAGAACGAGCGCCGCCCCATCGTGCACACGCGTGCGTGCGGATGAAAACAGGCACACCATTGGAACCTCATTTGCCAGTAAAAAATATGATTATTGTTTTTTTACCCTCTTATCTGGCAACAAAACTGACACCTTTTTTACGAGGAGTCATGTTTGCATAGACCACAATACCTGGAGTCATAATGCAAACAAAAAACATAACTCTGATAATGCATGCACTGTCCTTGAAGTTGAATGGTCCACACCCGAGACAGCTTTCCTTAGAGCCTAGTCTCACATGGGTTGGACCAGATGACGCCAAAAGGCGCACAACTCAAAGACGATGCACCATCAGAGTATGAGAGCTCGGGGTAAGCATATACACCATTGGCACATTTGAAGGGATCTCAGAAGTAGCTCTGCCATGTCCGCTTCGGCGGGGTCGTTCCCTAACACGTGGGGTGACGCAACTCCGCTCTGCGAGAGTTCCGAATTGGTTCCCTCCCGGTTCATAGCACAATGGCGAGAGCACAATCAGAAAGTGTCAAATGCAGCTGAATCCCTCTCAACGACGGTGATTGGTTCCACGGAACCGGTCGTCAAGTGATTTGGTCGTTAAGCGAGTACAGGAAATGCACGTTAAAGGTTTCATGAGTTCCGATAGCATCGAAAATTGCCATCTTTGACCCGATAAAACGTACTTTATCATATTTAAATACTGGCTATTCATACATAAAGATACCAACAACAGTATAAACACACAATAATATTAAAATAAACAGTTAATTAATCCATTAATTATTATTTACTGTAGCTACAACAGCTTGTCGTTAACAGGGGAATGGTCGGTAAGCGAACACATTGGGCTCTATGGAGGCACTACACTACTTTACACTACACTATACACTACACTACTATAAACTACACTATACACTACACTATACACTACACATTGGGCTCTATGGAGGCACTACACTACTTTACACTACACTATACACTACACTACTTTACACTACACTATACACTACTATACACTTCACTACTATACACTACCATTCACTATACAACTATACACTACACTACTATACACTACAAATTGGACTCTATGGAGGCCCAAGAACCAAGAATATGAATCCCTGCAGTCACGAAAGCTTTAAATAAAAAAATACACAATTATATTTACGCGATCTAACCCCCAAAACATCGTTACGAATCGGAACTAACTTGGGAGTGGTGGGGGGGAAAGGCCACGACACTTAAGAAAAAAGCGAACACGACGACAGGTCGATTACTCGATGGCGCGGGGTGTGTGACGTCACAGTGCGTAGCGTTTCCGTGGCGACCCCTCCATTGATGTCGCCAACGGTATCGGGGTCGCGACTTCACGGAAAACCTTTAGGAACGCCCGAGTTAACGGTGGAGGTGGTGATCAATCAGCCGGACTTGCTTCAACTCCTGCGTGTATATATGTCGGCTAGAAAGCTGGACGAAAAAAAAATGTATGCTTACAAAGTCGGGCGAGCGCAGCCTGGCTGTCGCCTGGGTACATTTCTCCACGTGGACTCGAGACATCGAACTCCCTTTCCTCTCTCGCTCCATCCCTGGCTCCGTCTCTTCCCCGTCTCTCCCTCTCCGCGCGCTCTCCCACCCCGACTCCTCTACGTGTGTACGCGTGCGTTTTTGTATGGAGTCCTGTTTTGCACATTTTCTTACGTTTTTTTCTAGTATTTTGTAACCGTGAGCCGCAGAACTGCGTGTGTGTGCGTTTGTGTCTTTGTGCTACGGTGTGTAAGTGTGCTTGTGTGGGGTGTGGGGAGCGGTGGCGTAGCGGTGAGCGCGCTGCGCTACGAATCCGGCGACCCGAGTTAGAGTCCCCCTTCGCGGCCACCAACACCCGGTGACGATTATCTGAACTGGTCCTGGGCCCCCTCTAGGTCGACTCAGCCTCAAACGAGTACCTGGTGCGATGTGTAAACATCGCCACGGGGGAGACGAAGGCGACCGGGCATGCTGCTGGCCACACCACCCGCTCGTGTGCCGTGTCGGACTTCATCGGTGCTACTCGCCAACAACACTGGCCCCCAAAAGTCTACGAAACCTATACGGGAGGTGGATGTGGTGCGTATGTTCGCGAACATCACTTACTTAGGCCACCAGGCGACTGCGATCATCCACGCGGGTGGCTCTCAATGGGCTCCACCGCGATGCACCGCCAGAAAGCTGTGGTCAACAATCGCCCCGGGTGGATAGATGTTTTGTTAAGAGACAGAAAACGTAATCATATCTGAAATTTACTAATAGGGTTTTTCCCCTTTTTTCTGGCAACAAAACTGACACCTTTTGCAAGGAATCAAAAGGTGTCAGTTTTGTTGCCAGAAAAAAGGGGAAAAACCCTATTAGTATATTTTGGTACTGGCTTAGGAGGTCCCATGATAATATCTGAAATTTGTTTAAACTTAAAATCCACGGTCTGCTACCGTGATATTTAAAACAACCGCCTCATGACGGAGTGGCAGCTGAGGTAGGGAGCCAGACGGGGGTGTTGGGGGGGATGACTATGGCGGACAATCACCGCTGCGGTATTGTTGAGAGGTGGTGGTGATGTGGGGGGAGGGGGGGGGCGCCTTCGTCCAGCAGTGGATTGACCATGGCCGACGATAAAAAAACGATTAACTGATGAGTATCGATCCGAGAGGCGGTGATTCGGCCGCATCGTTCCTGTCCGTGCGCGTCGAGGGCTCGTGGGTTGGCACGTGGCACCTGCGGCCACTAGAGGCGGCCATATTGGCCGCATACACAAAATGATGGATTTCTTCAATGGAACTGCGATGATTCGGGGGCGGTCAGGGTCACATTACAAATTCAGTATTATTTTTCACTCCGTTTACTGTAATGAGATTACAAAAATGGGCTCCTGTGTTCCAGTATTATCAGTCCAACTTTTTCAACGTGTAATGAGATTACAGTTTCTTAGCATCTGCCGGTGAATTACTGTCTTGGGATTATTTTCACTTGCGGGGATCTTGTTGTTGTTGTTAATGATGAATCTATTAGAAGAACAGACAAAATCTGAGTTTGCAGCCTGGGTAAATGAGGGTACCAGGTGCAAATACAAGCGTTGGCATGTTTACCGAATCAGAAACTTTACGTAGACTGGTAGAGAAATCTGATGAGCTATGAAGCTTTTTTTGTTTTGTTACACACAGATGTCCAGTGTGGGTGGGTCAGCAAGTTGAGCAGTGGTGGTCAGAGCAGTCGATGTTGATACGAAGCAAAAGTAATCATAAAATAGTCATCCGATTACCTTGCTTTTTAAATCCTTTATATTAAGTTCACTTGCTTGCTTGCTTGCGCGCTTACGACTGTGCAAATCTTTCGGTCGTTTTTTAACCCACTTCTCGTGATCCAATCGAGCTGATATTTTGCACACAGACTCGTTGTGCGTGACAATTAATTTTCGTGAAATTTTTTTCTCCAAATTTGTACACTTTTTAGGAAAAATAAAATTATATTTAATTACCAATTTCTTAATTAGGCAGGCAATCATCTGACCCATAGGTGGCAGCCATCTCAAGCCAGAGGACGAGAGGACTCTAGCCGCCACGCATATAAAGGATTTATAGTGAAAAACTTTGTTTTTAAAGTCCCGATCCGCAGGATTACAATGCGCTATTGGCTACACGGCCTGCAGTCACAGCACAGCGCAGCGCCGCTTGTCAACGCAATGTGAGGTCGTACAGCCGCACTAAGCACTCTTGGGTGACCTTTGTATGTTGGTATGCACGTGTCTGTTTGTATGGTGGTGGTGGTGATGATGATGATATCAGCCACGATGAGCCGGCTGATGTCGTGTGATAGACGAGTGGGATCTGTAAAAACGGCAATAGCTCAGTGGGATTTACCTGGTTAAGTAAGATAGTTGAGTTAAATATCAATCATAACTGGTGGTGGTTTAACGCGTATTAAACAAGGGTCAGTGTGATGGAATCGGTCCACCGGCCTCCAAAGACAAAGCTCCCCCGTGTAGCCTTAACAGACCGTCGGGGGCAAGTGCTCTTCGCGAGTAGCAACCGGATGAAGTCCCGGAATGGAACAACGTCGGGGTGGGTGGCCAGGACCACACCCGACCGCCTTTGTATCCCCGGTGTTCAATGTTTTTTTTACCACACCGCACCGGCTACTCATTTGAGGCCTGACTCGACCTAGGGGCAGGCCCAGGGCCGGGTCAGATAATCGTCGACGGTGTTGGCCTTGAGCGGGAATCGAACTCGGGTCCGCCGGGTTCGTAGCGCTGCTCAGCGGCCCCACCACAGAGAGCCTCCCCCCCCCGACCCCCCACGGCACCGGCCTATCCGCTGTAGAATTTAGAAACGCGCCTCTGCATCGCGTCTCCGGGCTACTGTAGATGGTAGAGCGGATGGGTAGCATCATCGTCCGTCAGGTCCGACAAGACGAATTCTAGTCAAGTTCGTTCATTGCGTTTCTTTGAGCCAACTGGGCGGGATCGCGCCAAAACTTCGCCCCGCTTTTCACCCAGGCAACTGGAGAGCGCGCAGCGGCGGCGGTGGCGGTACCACCAACAACGGACTAAGGCAACAAAACCCTCGGCTCAAAGCGTCCACGTTGCTCACCGCATGCGCGCACGGCACCGCGAGCTTTCGAACGACTCGGGATGTTCGTCGGTATCGCCTGGACCAGCGGAGCTTTCTTCTTACTCAGGGGTTGCTCGCACCGCAGGGGTTGCTCGCTGCACCCTGGGGGTGTGAGATGCCCTTTCTGGGGGATGTGCGAGACATGGCCATATTTTTAAAAAATATATATATAATTCTAGATTTGAAGCTTTCGTGACTGCAAGGATTAGTGCTCTTA